TTGTTTTTTTTTAGTGTTGTCATCTCTTCTTCCACAATATCAGAGCCTGGGGAAACCACCTCCTACAAACAACATGTAGCTTTGTAACACCATTGCTCTTTTTTTTTCCTAAGAAAAGGAGCACAGGCAAGTGATGATAGGAGAAAACAAATGGGGGGAAAAAAATTAAAAGGAAGGATGAAGTGTGAGCGATGAGAGCTCAAAACTGAACCACAAGGACCCCAAAGAGGGACACAGAGCAGAGCACACTGCTCCCAGCAGGCTGCTGGGGGCTGCGGGGATTGTTGGCCATCTAGGAATGGTAGGCATCCCCTTTCTGGTGGCAAATGGACAGAATGGTCGGAGCCAGGAGACTGACAGCAAGCAGGTCCTGTGATTTATTGGACTTTTAAATGAGTGAGGAAAAAACAGAGAGGTGAGAGAAGGAGCGGAGCAGAAGCTGTGAGAAGTACTGGGGGAGCCAGAGGAGGGACCACACAGAGTTGCCACCTGCACATTGAGGTAGAGGCTGTGCAGGAGGGGTGGTAAGGAGCTCCTACCTCTTGGCGGCTGCAGGGGTCCTGGTTGATTCCCATCCCAAGTCTGGAGTTGATCCTGGGAGAACACCAGTAGCCCAGCGAAGTCTCCCAAAGGCAGATTATTGCAGGGGACAGTAAAGGGTTGTAGACACAGCAAAGCCCTTCCGGGTGATGGAGGAAACAGCATGTCAGCACTCCCCACAACAGACTGCTGCTTCAGGGGGAGTCTTCAGGGCCTGGAGGAGGGAGGTTTGGACCCTGCTGTGTATGTAGCCCATCAGCTCAGTCCTTCTTCCTCCAGAGCCAGAAGGACCCGGACACCAGCCCTGGAGCTGTGCCATCCCAGGCATAAGCAGCCCCATACTCCCCTCCAGAGCCTGGCCAGGGTCACAGCAGGGTGCTGCTGCTGCAGGAGGACCACAGCAAGGACAGGACTAACAGGATGATTACAAGTGCCTTGCCTGAAGGGCAAGGATGGAGCAGCCCTTTGACTGCTCTGACACCTTGGCCTGAGGCTCATTCTGTGCTGAGGCCGGTTTTCCTGCCTCAGCATTGCACAGCCTGTGAAGGACCAGCAGCTCCCAGGGCTCCAGAGGACTATGGGTGCATTTCACCTGTCTTTGTATTTCTGCATGGTATTTTAATTCCTTTTTCCATTGCTTTATTGGACTGAGCAAGAGGAACTGGATAAAACCTGGCTAAAAGCCTAATTCACTACTTAAGCTTGTGTTTGCTGAATGGTTGCCTATTGCCAGGTATGCTGGATCAACAGAAATAAATCTGACACACACTACAGTCTTCTGGAGTCTTCTTGTTGGGGGAAAATAGTAACAGATAGGAAGATCATCTAAGGAAAAACAGAATACAAACACACAGGAAGCACTAATAAGCACATCTTCTCACAGTTCAGCAGTTTTTCCTGCTTTTCTGTAAAGTCTTTCACAAGATATACCCTTCACCATGGCCACACTACATAGGATATGCCTTATTTTCTTTCTAAACACAACTGCTCAGCTGAGACTCAAGTACAAGATGTCTCTGGCCTTTTCCTTATGCATACGAATCCTGAAATTAACCACACATACGCTTTGGAAGATCTTTCACAGTAGTACTGTCAAGCTTACCACTCTCATGTTTTCAGGCTAAATTTAATTTTGCATTCATGGTACGAATTTTTTTCAGAAGCACCTCAGCCTCAGGAGGTATTGTTGCAATAAGAGTGATGTACAAATATCTCTCTGGATTTGGTTCCATTGTCTAATGCTCTGGAAATCTTGCTTGCAACTTCAAGGCTATATTGAAGCTGCAAGTCACAGTTCGTAACTGAAAAATAATGAAAAATAACCACTGGCCAGGGTCTGTTTGGTAATTTCTTATGATTTATAATCAGTTTCAAACATCACTGGCCTTCAGTAAATAAAAGTGTATGGTTTTGTTTATTTCCATGACTAAGATTAAATCTTTTTTTTTTCTCAATACACATAAGTTTTAACTCATAAACTACTGTGATCATTTGTTTTTTTCCACACTGTTTAAAAGGACTACATCAACATATGCCCCAAAATCCCCCACCATCAGGTCTGAAATGTCTTATTAATTCCTTTTATTTCTTATTTTTTTAGATAGTTACATTGAGATCATCGTGGTGGCACTCTTAAGAAGCTACACTAGGTACACATTCCTCTTTACAATTCAGAACCCAAATATTGTTGGAGAACACAAATTGGTGGATATCTTCTGGTGATTTACTTAGGGTTTGTGCTCACTTTTCTTCAAGTATGTTATTATTTGTGTTATGTGGCATTTACAGTGTTGTTTGGCCAGCTTCAGCCCAGAAGCACAGTTTCTTTCCATGGCTGCTCCGAGCCAGTGTTTTTCATCAGTTCTAAATGTCATCTGTGTAAATCTTACTAACCTGAAAGGCATGAAAAATTTATCACATTTTTCCTCAGGTGCCGAACACAGCCTAGACATCTGAGACAAGAGTGCAGTCACAAAGGTGAATCATAGAATCATAGAAAAGTTTCATAGAAGTTCAAAAAATCTCCTCTTTTCTTTTTCCTAATATGAACACCCGCCAGGAGCCCAGTGATGTACTAGGGACAGAGAAGCATTTGTCACTGACTGTGTCTCCCCTTTGTATAGTAACAGACCTTTTTTGTTCCTCCAGATCTACCTATGGACAAACAAGGGGTTTCATCCATCTTTTCTATAAGTACAAGAACTACTATGTCAGTTCCTCTAGTCATCCCAAAGCAATGAGTGTATTCAGTGCCTCCTTAAAGCATGGCCTTACAGTGTGGAGGGATCACATAGGTTTGAGACTTGGACAATTCAACCCTCTCCTGCATTTTTTTAATATTCATAAGATATTAAACCACTGGGAAATGGCTTCAAATTATTTCTCTAATTTTTGCTCATGTTCTTACACAGGATCACCTTGTTTAGATCACCTTGATGCTCTCAAGGGCATAGTACTTGACTCTCTTTTCCATTATGAATTTGTACATTTATTTCTCATACATCTTCTGTAGTGTTAGTCTTATGATTTTAAGCTCTGAGAGTCAACTGCCTTCCTTTCCACTCTCTGTAGGTTTTAATTTAAGTGCTATAACACTATTTTTGGTAGCATGTTAGTTGATGGCTCAGCTGAAAATGAATACTGCACTGTTTAACCCCAGGCATGTCCACTGCCTTGGTGCCTTTTGCTCCACCTGTAAGACATTCTGAGCCAAGTCATTAGCTTTGCAATGCCATGTGCACCTTGATGAATTCCATGCTCTTCTTAAGTGATATCACCTTTTTCAATTCCTGGATCTTTTCCAGTGGTTCAAGCATCACATTGGTTTGTGCTTTTTGTCACAGTGCACAAGTGACATGGGCTCTTACTGTCCTAAACCTCAAACACAATCTGATCTCTTCTCTAGAACTCAAGCTCCCAGAAATAGTTTCTTCAGCCCTAGCGCAGTCACAGATTGTTCTGAATGGAACTTCTTGTCATTTCTTTTTCTTCTTTTTTAGAGATTAGCTCTGTGTTTTATGTTCTCTTTTCCCTTCTTAGTGTGTTTTCCTAGTTTTTCTAGTAAGTCTCTCAAAGGCAAGCTGATGTAAAAAATATTTTTCTTCTACTTTCTTCCTCTTTACTGGCAGACATTGCTTGCAAATCTAGAACGCAAAACTATTTAAATCCCCTTCAGTTTATTTTCCAAACTTCTTTTAAAATCTCAGTGTTAGTGGGACTTTCTTACCCCCTTTCTCCTATCTGGACTATGATGCAGTTCAGTAATTGCTTGATGTTCAAGGCATCTGTCTTGAATTATCTCCCATTCCAAACAGATATGTACCATGAAAAGCTTTGCATGCTCCCAGAGGCTTATTCCTTAAAAGCTCATTTCTCAATATGTATCCACTGCAGGCTCTGGCTCCACAGGACCATTGTAGCTGCCGAGAATATCTACAGAATCTCAGAGATCAGGTGCTTACAACTACCCCCATGCCAAATTCCTTTCAATGTGACATTCCTACTGTCCCTACCCACAGCTGGAATGGCACAGGAGAGCCCTAACACAAAAAAAAAAGCAACTCCCCTTCCAGGCAAATAGTTGCTACAACATTTTTGGCTTCTGGGATTCTCAGGTTAGCCTTCCAAGAGTGGGCGAACGCAGCCAAACCTTAGTTCTGGCCAATAGCCAAGGGGCAAGTCAGTGCCAGCATGACAAAAGCAACCACAGCTTCACCTCAGCTGTAAATACAAGGGCTGGGACTTTCCCTGAGACTTTGACGGGAAGTTCTTTCAACCCGCACAGCCAGAAAAGGCTTGCAACATCCCCTCATTTCACCCTCCCCTGTGCGCTTGCCCTGGCTTCCACTACATAAATGCTGGCCAGGCTGTTGGGGTTTCTGCACTCTGCTCCCAGCAATAGGACTTGTCTATAGCTCCTGAGGTCTCTTGCTCCAGCACAAGCAGCATCTCATCAGCTGGGAAAGCATTAGCTTGCCTACGGGGACTGCAGCAGGTTAAGTGCACAGGTGAGTTTCACACAGATGAGACACAGGTTTGTCTCGCCTCTGCAGGTGGGACTGGGAAGCAGAATGGCTATACTGTCAACCTGGGAAGAGTTTGGGTGGGCTTGAACTTAAATTCATAAGTCTCCTGCTAAAATTTTATGCCAGCCTCTCTCCAGGCTAGACAGAAAAATACAAAACCAGGCCATGTCTCCTGTTTTTTTGTTAAGATTATACAACATATTAGTCATTAAGAGCTGAAATAGGGAAGGATTTGTATCTGTAAAATTAGGAAAAAACAATTTCAGTCAATTGGTATTCAGAGAGCTTACATAGCAGATAACAAGTTTATTTAAACTTCCAGAGGTGTATGCAATAGTTAAAGAAGTGGAGAAAGCTTCTGCAAATGACTGGTCAGTGGGGTTTAAATGATGAAGCTAGAAAGCGGATATTCTTTCCTAAGCCAGAGCCAAGATTCTTGCTTGAATTTTAGTAGCAAGTGCAGATACTCTAAGGGTGTTTGATTTACCCCAAATCATAAGCTAGCACTAGTAACAGTTGAAATTAATGATTCTTTTATGATTCTATGATATCACATTTTCTCTTTCTGTTCAGGCAGCAAACAAATTTTAATCCTTTCTAATATTTTATAAGCAAGGGGCCTCAAGGCTGCAAAAAGAAATTAATTTTTCTTAAATATTGTCTTATAACAGCTCCACATTATTAATTCAGAGAGCATTTGCAGCTGTCAGAACTCTTTTTCAGCTTTGATATGGGAATATTTCATATACCCTCTAAATCTGCCACACAAACTGTCATTCAGACTATAAGCCAATTTTTCCAACACTGTTGAGACTTTATAAAATGATGCAATTAGAGGAAGATGTAAATTATTTTTTAGATGTGGCCTTCCTGAAGCTCCTAAATATTTTCATAGCAATGACTTAGACTAGCATGAAGTAGTACTGTAACTACATACCAAAATATTCCAATAGTCATTGAGAAATCAAGCATCCCTGTACTTTCTTCCTCCATATTAGAATTTTCTTATGCAAACATAGTAAGCACTTTTCATACTTGTACAGATTTGGGCAGATGGCACTTTTTTAATTACTTCTCTTAGTTACATGCAGAAATGATAACCAGATAAAAGGTTTACTTTGCAGTGAGAAATAACTAACAAAGTGCATTGCCTACCTTAGTGCTTTATTTCAGAGCAGGAGCTCACTTGGGAGCTGACTCGCCTGCCTCCTACCGCCTACAGTGCCGTGTTTCACATCGCAGAGCAGGCTGGGGACATGCAGTCTCGGCTGCTCTTGGGTGAAACAATATAATCCCAGTGCAAATGGCCGTTCAGCTGACAGGACCAGACCAGAGCTAGTTCAAAGCAAAATCTCCAGCAATGTGCTTAGTGTGGGCACGGGGTGCTAAGAACCACCTTTTCCTCCCTACAAACCAAGTCCTTCAAACACACAGACAGCAACTGAGGCTTTCAGGGAGAGTAGTTAAGATCTGCGTATTTTAAGGCCTCCCTCACTGCTTCCCAGTCTACTTTTATTACAGCCTGTTTATTTTGTAACTTCAAGATTTGAGCCCACCACTTCTCCCAGTTACAGTGCTAGCACAGTGGAATTGCAACTTCTTAAGCATTTTCTCTGGAACATTTTATAGATGTTGGCATTTTTACTTCATTTTTGTTCTATTTAGATTTTAATGTATATAGACTTTGGCTTTTGAAAGGTGTTTCTAGGGAAGAAAAGCTAGGGACAGTTATTTGCATGTCACCTTTAAAGATGCTTATTGCAGTTCACATGTGAAAGGTTTTGTCCCTGCATTCTCTAGAATAAAAATTGGTGTGTTTTTTCCTCCTTTGACATCACTGTTTAGACCCACATGTTCTCTTCTGTTCCAAAATTTCTTCAACATGTATTCCCCTTAGTAAGAGCACGGCCAATGAAATACTAAATTCACTTACTTGATGTTGTGGACGGGGGTGTGAGAAATGAGTGCACTCTCAAATATCCTCATGGAGCATTTACTGGGCTGCTGCTGACAGCTCTCTCCTGTCCACTGCTGCAGTTTGGGCAGGGTGCTCCAGCAGGGCTGTGGCAGGCAGTGGGTGGCAGCCTGGGTGAGTGCGGATTGTATCCATGTTCTTGGAAACAGACGAGGAGCGGGAATAGCTGCCAGCAAAAACATTAATTAGAGGATTGACAAAGCTGCCTCCCAGCCTCATAGTAACTACTGAGTACAACCCTGAGGCACAATGGCAAAGGTGGCTTTCTTTACTAAATTGTTGAGGTGACCCTTTCCTGAGGGTGTTATTAGAGGAATGCTCTAACTTTGGTAGTGGAGGCACAGTTTCAGGCACAGTTTCAGGCTACATGGCTCAAGACCACTCTTCTCATGCTTGGCTGAGCTGCTTTGTGTGTCACACTGGCAAAGTGCCACAGATCACCCTTGGTTCAGCAACAAGGCTGGGTCTAAAGCTCCGCTGGGAGATGTAGATCCCATGACTCGCTTAAGAAAACATGAGGTTAAGATTAAATCAGGAGTGAGGACAGGTTCTCAGCTCTGGATGATTTCCATCCATGTGCTTTTCCCAAGCAGAGCAGCCTCACCAGGACAAATCTGAATGCGCAGAAAAGCGTTTCCATAATCAGCATGATATCCCATAAAAATGAGAATATTAATAAATTTCATTTGAATTCTACAACCTGAACTGCACCAGACCTTCGTATAACTTGACACTTCAAAGGCGCTTAATTATAATAATCTGCTACAAACTGTTTGATCAATGGTGGAAGCAGCTCAGCCATCCACCTCAGACAAGTTGCAGCACCTGAGGACTGGGATGAAAGTGTTTTACTGATGCCTGTCACCAATCCATTAGTGATACCAACTATGTAAGCAAGTTTCTGTAGGCCTCTAGATAAATAGGCCATAGGTGCTGTGAAATTTAGTGAAGAAGTTGATTGTCAAAGAACAAAACACTTCCTGGTATCATTAGAGCACAGGACTGTTTGACAAAGGATTTCTCTGGGTGGTCCTATGCTACAAGAACTGTGAGAGCAGGAAATACGTAAAAAGATACGAGTACTCACAACAAGTGGGTAATTATGCAATAATCGTAATAGCACAAAACGGCAATGCAATAAAGACAATAGGTTTATTCAGAAAATCCAGTTCATCATTTTGTATTGCATTTCCTTGCTGGAGCCGCAAGAGAGGGTCACTCTGTGGGAGACAATTATTTTGTCCAATTAGGCAATTACAAAAGCAGCATGACACTTTGTTTCGTTCCTCCTGGCACTCTCTTCTTTCCTCTTCAGCTAAGTTTAGTAAGAACACAGAAGCTTTTCATTTGTCTCTGTTCCATATCACATCCCAAATACCTTTTCCTTCACTCCAGTTGCATAGAGAGGGCCTGTCATGCTCCTTCCTTGCTTATTGCATAGTCTTGACATGCAGAACCAAAAGCGTAACTGCTGAATTGACCCCACATATTTCACAGAGGTGGAAACAACAGACACCCACTGGCCTTGCCTACAGACCCAGGAGAAAACAGAAGACACAAACCCGGGTGACTTCTCTCTGAAGGTGGCAGCCTCTGTGTTAAGAGGGCTCAGGCAGCAGACATTTGTAAGATGTCTTGTGTAAAGTTTCCTGTGCCTCTGCACAGGGGACCATGGCACAGGATAATGCTGGCTGCCCCATGCTGCACTGTGAGCAATTTGGTGGCAAGGCTGTGCTCCAAGAGCTGTAGCTCACAAGTAGTACTCTGGCAGAGAGGTTTCCTTTGTACCAACACCTGGGCTAGGAGCTGAGGCAGTAACCCACTGCTGTGCACACTTGTCTTGCTTGCCAGGCTAGGGATTACCATTACAATATTCAGCTTGGGCATCTGAAAAATCTGAGGTGAACTAAATAGGGAGCTCTGCCAAGAAAAATGCCTAGATCTTTCCATTTCTCAGTAGAGGATGCTACCCTGAAATTAGTGGTTCAGTAATAAGTAGAATTTCTTACACCTTGAGAAAAAGCTAATTTTTTAAAATTGCCTGATAACAATTTTTTCTTGCTGAAAAATGCAATAGCATTTAAAACTGTCTCTTTTTTTTTTTTTTTTTTTTTTGTGAGGAACATGGTTTCTTTATTTACAAAATTATCAGTGTTCATTTTGTCCTGAAGGCAGGCATGTCTCCGCAGGTGCCACTCAAATGCAGCCAAGTAGGAGAGGAAAATGTTCAGATCTATGTAAAAGAAAGAAAGGAAACTAAAAGAATCAAGTAAATACATTTAATGTACTTTTTATTAAGTGAATAAGGGATCTGATAAAGTTATCCACTGTTAAATCATGTTTTTAAACACATTTTTGTGTATAGACTTGTGTAACCAAGAACACAGAGTAATGAACTTTCTATAAAATCTGCTTGGCCCCATTCCAGACATGTTGCAAATCCACATGTATTTGTTTTGGCAAGAAACCTTCATATTCATATTTCTTTTTCTTAAATCTCTCATCATACTTTCCCTCTCACTCTTCAGATTTCTAAGAGCGTAACACAGCCAAGAACATCATCACTGCACTGCAGCAGCCACCTCACCTTTGATTTTATCACAGATGTTAAGAAGCAACTGGGCTTTTTTTTTTTATTCCTGCTTGTGCTGACCTGGTCCAAAAGCAAACTAACTGAATATCAACAATTCCAGTAGTGTAAACGGGAATAGAGTCAGGCTCCTAGAGCTCATAACAAATATGTGGCTTTGAACTCTCACGTTTTTAGTAGTCTCAAGGTCTGTGGTTGGTTGGTTGCTGGTGTAATGCCAGCTAATTCCAGTCTCCATGTATCCTACTGATGGGCTTTCAGTAAAGGCATCCCAAATAGCATGACCTGCCTCATCCTCTTGTGCACTTCAAGACACAGTGATATAGGGTCACAACTGAAGAGCCATTTCTCACTTGTTTGCTCCTCTTCTGGTGGTACAGACACACATGTGGGTGTGTGTACATCATGAATTTTTTA